TTAAGGAGCCGTAACTTGTTAACGTTTTTGGTATCAAGTACTGGGACACCCTGTATGTTTCCTTACCAGAATCTCTGTTATCTGCTTTAAGGTATAGACAATTCAAAGTCTTTGATAAGTTTCTTGAATGAACTAAGTAATCAAATTAAATTATTAATTTGATTGTAGAGCTCATTTCCAAAAAAAAAGAAAAAAAAACGTGGACCTTTCGAAAACTTTCTAGACTAATATATTACGGAATGGTTAATGGTAATATTTCTTGCTACTTCAATGGAACCTCTGAACTGAATCATACATCATAAATTATATTTTTATGTGGACTTCACCGGAAAATTCTGGAAATAGGTTACAATAAAAAAATCTTACGCCCAATTTACCAACACCATTATTGAATATAATCCTGATATTAAAAACTTTTATATCACATTCTTATAAAGTTCTTCTCAACAAAAACTTCTTTATTAGATTTTCACAATATTTGAGCCGTTGTTATATAAGTTTCCTGTTTGGCTTTTCAACTTCGCATTTCTCTTTTGAGTATGTATTCAGAACTCTAGTTTGAGTTATAAAAACAATTTGTTAATATAATTACGGAATCGGAATCAAATAATTTATAAAATATACTGAACACTTCAGTTTATTGTTTGCATATAAAAATTGGATTTCCTTTGAAATATTTTCAACAAATGCGTTGGAAATTTTTCTGTGTTTTTCTATAGCATAATTGTACAAGTAGTTCAAATAAAAATTATTATCAAAGAGAACATTTGCATCAAATTAATACAAATTCGAGCAGATTGCATTGAAATTAACTCATAATTTAACTTGATTAACTATTTATATAAAAAATAAAATTTAGGGCTACTTATTTGTACATACAGTATAACCTTATACTCTTCTAGTAATATGGCTATAGGGTGTCCTCGGAATAAGTGCCACAATTCAACCAATATAATTCAGTGAGATATACAAATATGAGAGAGATATATAAAAAGTTGTACAATCGCGTAGTGGAAACTAGAGTACAATCGAGAGAGAAATGGAAAGTGGGTAAAAGCTTTGATGTACTAGCTGTTACCTTTAAATGCATTACAACACAATTATTTACATCAATATGTATTTTATTATTTATCACTCCGTGTTTCGCATTTAATTATATCACAACTAAAACATTCAGATAGCTTTGGTCCAATTAAATAACCTTCTACTAGGTCAGGCCATATTAAGATAATGCGAAAATGTTTTTGTTTTACACCATTTTTGAAAATGAAATACTGCCAAAACTACTAAAGCTATGTTGTCATATTGGAATGTATGCACAAAATTGACATAAAAAAATCAGGGAAGAACAAACTGATCTTCAACATCAACTATGTGCCGGCAGATCTTTAACTGTAGACTAATAGATCCTTCTTTAAAGTTTTGAGTATGGTTTCGGGTCGAGATTTTTCGAAGCGAGAATTCCCGGGAAATCTGGCCTTACTCGAGACGAGAAAAAAGTGTCGAGAAATCGAGAAATTTAAAAATCACGCGCGTCTTAAGTTCTTGACTGGAGTTCGTTTCGTTCATGCGTTCAATTCGTTTCTCGACAAATAACTGAGCGGTTAAAGTGGTTTCTCTACCAGCTCATGATTTATTTATTTTAAGTTTTTAAGGCTTTAGTTTACTTTGATGATTCTTTTTTTTTTAANGTTGATTGAGTCACTACTTTATTCTTAGTATTGAAGGACTTGATATCACTCATTTCTTTCTCAGGTATTACATAAAGCCCAAATACCTCAAAATTAATCTTGAACGTTGTGTGCTCCTGTAAGTATTTTATAATTATGTTTTCTATTTTTGGCCTCGCTTCATCCATAAATATTTTATAATCGATGTGAGTTTTGGGACTGTTGAATCGGTAAGTAGCTATTCTGTTCTTGAATGCATGTTGTAGTTTTGTAACTCCATCTGCCAAGGTCTCAATTACGGCTTGATTAACCCTCTTTCTATTGAGACTTGACGAATAACCAGCACCACTTGTAGAAGGTTGTGATTTTTTAAAAACGAAACAGTTATTCTGAATATGTCTGTTTAAGTTAAACATAGTTGAAAATTTTTTTCCACAATGTTGACAAATAATATTGTCTAACTTTGGTTTTTTATTTGATGGACCTTCACTACACAGTCTATGGTGTAAAACCGGACAATACTCGCGAACATGTCGAGTTAAACTGTATTTATTTGAAAAAGCTTTATCGCAGTACTCGCACTGCATTGTGAATAAAACTGAGGAGTTGATGCATATTACTTTGTTTTATACCCTGACGCCTGGTGCGTCGGAAACATCTGGCAACCAGATGGTCATATTTTTAGATATGATGTAAGTAATGTTCTATTTTTAGAAATGATGTCATCGACAGATGTGTTCTATTTTTAGAAATGATGTAATATTCTATTTTTAGAAATGACATCTGGCAACCATATGGTGTTATTTTTAGATATGATGTAAAATTCTATTTTTAACAATCATCGACCTCTGGTCGTCTAGGGCGAAGGTCACCTCAAGGTCAAGTCAAGGTCATTGCCCCACGGTCGTCTGGGGTCAAGGTCACCTTAAGGTCATGTGAAGGTCATCGACCTCCGGTCGTCTGGGGTCAAGGTCACATCAAGGTCATCGACCTCTGGTCGTCTGGGGTCAAGGTCACCTCAAGGTCACGTCAAGGTCATCGACATCTGGTCGTCTGAGGTCAAGGTCACCTCATGGTCACGTCAAGGACATCGACCTCTGGCCGTATGGGGTCTATGTCACCTCAAGGTCATCGACCTCTGGCCGTCTGGGGTCAAGGCCAAGTCAAGGTCATCGACCTCCGATCGTCTGGAGTCAAGGTCACATCAAGGTCATATCAAGGTCATCGACCTCTGGTCGTCTGGGGTCAAGGTCACCCCAAGGTCACGTCAAGGTCATTAACTTCTGGTCGTCTGGGGTCAAGGTCACATCAAGGTCACGTCAAGGTCATCGACCTCTGGTCGTCTGGGGTCAAGGTCACCTCAAGGTCACGTCAAGGTCATCGACCTCTGGTTGTCTGGGGTCAAGGTCTGCACATTGCACATGCTCTGCTCAGCTCTGTCATTTATACACTACTAATAAATGTTAATGATGATTGTTAAGTATAGTAGCATGTTTATATTTCGCATTGCAATACCAAAATTATGACTTTTTTAAGTTTTAGAAATTTCTCGAGAATTCGAGAATTCCCGGGAATTCCTAGTCGAGAATTCTCGAGTCCCGAGAAAAAAAAATAGGCCGAGAAATCAGAAACCCTAGTTTTAAGGCAAATCCGACCCCTAGCATACGATAATTGTAACAAGAGCTTAGGTCTTTACGATAGATCACAAATCACTCCTTTCGGAAAGTAAAAAAGGTAAACAGGCGATATAGAGAAATACCCCACCCAGTGTAATCGTTTATTTCAATCAAAGAAATGTAATGTGGTGAGAAATTGATGTGTCTTCATAATCCCAACAAATTAAACCTTTGGTTAAATCGGAGCCTGTTCGCACAACCTGGAATAAAGCGTAAAAGTTCGACTCAAATGTAATGAAACTGTTATCTGTAAATTGGATCAAATGTACAAAATTTTGGAATATAACTCGCGTTGGTCAATAGAAATCATGTACTATTCCAACAGCAGACTCACCATAAATAAAGGAACTCGATGATCTGAAGTTACAACCATATTTTGTCCCTGTCCCTATCCACTCTATCGCCTCTTTAGGTCAATAAGGCACTTTCTTTCTGGAGGTCATTTTGCAAATTAAGCAGAAGATGAACCTGGGTATTGTGTTTTTTCGGCTTTGCCAAATGAATGCCATCAGCAGACATTGAAAGATCAACAAACTACTTACTAAATTAAAAAATTGCAAATTTGTCTAAATTAGTGAATAATAATCTGAAGAGAAATTGAAAATATGTATTTCTATTGGTTTTTACATGATATGAATTATTCGGATTTAAGTTCTTATTTTCCGAATTTATATGAAGAACTACAGGAAAATGGAACATTTTCTTCTTTTCGAAAATTAGATTTCATTACGATGTTTATATTTTTAGCAGCTATTAATAATTTAATTTTTAAGATACAAATCTATCGATAATTTTGCGCTATTGGATTCTCCAATTTCTTCTAAGTCCATGATGTATCAGGTATTGTTTAATGATGACGTGTCGAACAAGAAGTATCATCGATGTCATTTTTCTTCGAATATGTTGGTCGGTATCTGCAGAAATTTAACATTTTTATATTATTAAATACTTTCGTCAATTAGCAAAAAAAATTAAAAAAATTAATTTTAATAAGATTGACATAGGATAAAAGACATTGGAAATTTTTCTCGAAGATTTTGTTGTCTGGATTCAGAATAGAATCTAATCTAATATAGCAAATAATATTTATGTTTCTGTATAAAAATGAGGCTTAGAGATAAAACGCTGTACAAAAAAAATTTCTTGCATTTTTTCCAATAAATCTAGAAAACGAAAAATGAATATGAATCTCACATTTTTTCTCGTGCACAGTCTCTGAGATAGCAATATTAACGCTTCCAGTTTGAAACATCCTGTATACATGAATTCGATGTTTAATATTCACTGTATTCGGAAAGTGTAACAATTTAATAGAATTTCATTAAAAAAATTCTCCGGTTTGCTAATTGTAATTCTAATACCAAACAAATATTGTTAAAGAGATGCATACAATTTAGACATATGGTGCTCAATATTTCAGAAATAAATATTTTTTAGAATTTCAAACAGTATAGTATAAACAAGTATACACTTACTAAATGTATTAGAAAAGTCAAACTATTAGCAAAAGTGTTGAAAACACTCGACATAAATTAACTACATACTCAGCTTTACGTTACGAATTTCAGGAAGGATGAAATGGAGTTTTTATGTATTACCCCCTTGCCAGTAAACTATGTCTGTGAATATTAAGTGTAATGCTTTTTCTTTTCAGTTACGTCGCTGAAAAGCTAAAGCTCGGAATGCCAGTCGACCCAGAGGAATTCGAAGAAGTCACGATCTACTTCTCGGATATAGTGGGGTTTACCACCATTTCGGCGCATTCGACGCCCTTTCAAGTTGTCGATTTACTAAATGATCTCTACACCTGCTTCGACGCCACCATCAACGCTTACAACGTTTACAAAGTTGAAACCATCGGAGACGCTTACATGGTGGTGGGTGGTCTACCTGTGCGAATTCCAGACCACGCTGAGCAGGTAATTAAGGAATATTGTAATTGAACGCTAATATTATCTAAAGTTTACTTTGCGAAATGCATTCGAGTACAGAAATTTGAACTAATTGCAAATTCTGCATACCTGAATATACAGAATATCCCCATTTTTATTCATATCTAGCGGTTAGAGGTGTTTTCTGTGACATTTTTCTCTGTAGTAGTTTTGTTTGCATTTCAACCCCTATAAAATGTACGTGAATTGTGGAACATACAAGGTGTAACTTTGAGTGGAGTTCAAATTTATACAATGGCTTCCTTTGACCTTTATCAGTAGTCTATTTTTCGAAATTCAGTTGTGAAAACTTATTTTTTATTAACTTTTTTTTAGTAATTTTCATGCCCTGCCTTCATACAAGCTAGTGTAACCTCAAATAACGGCGCGCTTTAGTCGCAGCATGATCAATTGATAACTGGGCTGTGCATTGTTGTCAAATCTCAGGAATCTTATGAAGAGGTTATTAAAAAGCAAATTTCCATACCACTTGCAGTGAGGTACTGCTGTTTGGTGCGCGTTACTTTTGTTGAGTTACTCATCTAATTTTTATAACACTTGCAATTTTGTGGGTAATCTTCGTGTTTGAAATTTCTTGTTCGCAATTTCTCATTCTCTGAATTTATTCCCATCCAGCATCAGCGTATTCGTGTTCAAAGCTCGCATAATCTCTTAAATGTTATAACCTGTCACTTTTAACTATATGGACCTCATTGTACGGAGTTCGTCTGCAATTTAATATCAAATTGTTTTCTGTTTAAATAGCTATATTTAATATAATCTCTAACCGTCAAAACTTGATAAGAAATAAAATAGGTATGTGTACTCTGCCGGTCGCTCAGTTCTTAGAGACACGTAATATATCACCTTTGTCGTCGATATCTTCTGAGTACTGGTCGCTAATTAGAATACAGACCTGTCTATAGCACAGTAACTGCACTTTCGGAACCTGTTGATGGCTTCCAGCGATGAAAAACGTTCAAATTCACAGTTGGATGTACCGTCTCCAAAAACGAGGCAACAATTAACCCACTTCGCTTCGTCGCCGGCCGTTGACCCGCACTATCTCCCTTCACGTGCACTGTAGGTTGCCATCAATTTTTTTTACAAATACATGAATATTACAGGGTGGGCTACAATATTGAATCAATCTGACAAACATTTTCTTATTCGCTACTAGTACATTGGCCTAATCTATCTGATATTGTCTTTTTTGCTCTTGATGACATTAAAATAACACTTCACTAAGTTATACAAAAGTAATCTGTTTTACCAAATTATTTTTCATTGTCTCTTTCCACAATGTAGGTTGATTTAAAAACAACTGGCAGCATTGATATTGTACTAATACGCAATTTCAGGATGCCGGAACTGGACTATTTATTTGATTAAAAAAAAAAGAATATTTCAGATTTGTATTCAGGGGAAGACGTACTATTGCTTCTATTAAATTTTGATCCTTTTTTTCTAAAAAAGATACCCTTGACAAAAGTCGCTAGGAGTTTCTCTTTTAACATTTTTACTGAAGGTTGCCTTATGGAATTACATAAATCTTGGCTCTGAGTCTCAGTTAAGACTTAATGAACTAATCAGGCGATTAGACTGTGAATATATCGTTATAAAATAAATAAGGATATGTATAGTCTAATGATGTGAATACTTAATCAAGGCTTAACCGAGACTCAAAGTACCAGACCTAAGTGTAACAATATAACAACAAATCAGTTTACTTGTTTGTTTGTTTGTTTGTACTATTGCATATACTTATGCGGGTTTGTTGATATAAATTAGTTACAGTTATAATTGAAAATAAGTTAATAGTGGCGTTTAGATTTACTAATTAAGAATACGCAAATATTTACTATGTAAATTTTGTAATGGAAATATCCATGGGATAAAAGCTAATGATGTAGATCACAAAGGTACTATTATAATAAAATATTGAGAATTACATCAAACTTTCGTAATTATGAATTTTAATTCAATAATCTGAACTGAGATAATTTAATAGTTTCTGAAATATAGAAAAATAGTACGTTTTGCCTTTTGCATGTGTTGCACATTTTTCTCAACTATTTATCTATGTCTTACCAATTTTTCATATTGTTATTTTACCAACATTTTTACACATTATTCACTGATATAGATTAAAGTGTTATCAAATTCGTAATACATTTATTTCGTATATAGTAGTATATAGTTGGGAATACGCGCATTTTATAGAATAGTTTTAGTAAAATTTTTAATATTTAGTAATTAATAGTTTTCTATAATATGGCGAATGTGCCAGTGAAATATTTTTGTAATGTGTTTTTAATAATGCTTAATTTGCTGTCTGGTTAAGATCTAATTACAAAATAAAAAATATCCCTGAATTAAAATTAGATTTTTAACTAAGTCAATAAGGTACAAAGTCTGAAACATCAGAAGCTAATATAGAAATAATAATAGGTACCAAGTTACTGTTAAGATAATGCAGTTTGAAAAGTTTAATCAAACCTATGGTAAATATTTTTGCTTCATAAGGTTTCGCAATCTATCTAATTTGAAAACTCATATAACTTAGAATTTCAACCAACTTATTTTTATCGACTTCGAGGTAGCAGCACAAGCAAATGAATAACGTTACCAGGTTTTAGTTATACAGGGTGGTCCGTATTTTATGCTGGAAAGGTCGAGGGCAGATAGATCTCTTTAAAATAATAGGTGTTTGCCTTATAAACATAGGTCTAGAACGGCCTCGTTTTAGAGATAGAGGGTGTTGAAGTTGTTAAAAAAAATGATTTTTTGTTTATATCTCCGGAATCTATTAACCGATCTCAATAAAATTTGGTACAGATAATGTATGACAGTAGGTCTTGCATTCCCTAAAATATGAGCTCTAATGGTTCAACCAGTGGTGTACAACTGGACAGGGGTCATGCTCTTGTTATAAAAAAACCTACGCCACTGTAATTTTTTAAAGTTATTCATACCAATACAATCCCCTTGTGGCAGACCCTTCAAACCATAATATTACAAGAATATTTATGTTTATGCCTAAAAGTATGTGCAATTTGTAAGCAGATCAACACAATTATTTCCAGGTAGTGAGGTAGTGTTCCTAGTGTATGTTAGTTTCTCCTGGTGGCCTAATCCACTATCTTTACAAATAAGAACAATTTAAATCAAAATAATAATAAAAATACATTTACCAAGCAACAACAAAACAAACAAGAAACGAAATGCGAACCATCCACGTCGATACATTTCTGACATCTTCTATTAATGGAACTAATTGAAACTAACATCATCTGGTGGTTTTCTTTTAATTCATTACACCCGTATTTTATTCTCTGCAGTAGTCGTGGTCTTGTATTTATTGGATTAGAGTAAACTTTCCTTTTCAGGTTGGTAACCCTAAACATAGAACTCTAGGGGGTTTAAATCTAGCGATCTGGCTGGCCAAGACCTGGACCCTCTGCACCATTATGGTTGACATTGGTATTTGGTCTTCTTCCTATCCATCGTCCCATATAATTATCATTAAGCCATTCTTGTATTATTTTCCTAAAATGCGTAGGAGCACTATCCATATGCATCCAGTTATTTTGTGGTATATTTAATGGAACATCCTCTAATAATTCAAATAGATGGTTTTCTAGAGAGTTTATAAATGAGTGGAAATTTAGATGGGGTAGCAAGAAGAAAGGTCCACAAACTGTATTCCGAATTATTCCGACACTGTCACAGAAAATTCATCTTGAAAAGATCTTTTCTTGTGACCAAATATTGTGAAAATTCACTACCCCTCGCCTTGTGAACGTAGCCTCACCGATCCAAAGTATTTGTAGTAAGAATTCTGGATTAGTTGTGACTTTAACAACCACTGACAAAAATTCAGGCGTCTCTCTACTTCTCTCGAAAGTAAATTTTGCACAGCTTGTAAATTTTCGATTTACTCACCCCAAGTTGCCGAGACGTTTTTTAATCCCAAAAGAGCGACGAGTGTAAATAATTTTGTTGATCTGCTTGCAAATTTTACTTACTTTTGCATAAACATAAATACTATTGTAATATTATGGTTAGAAGTGTCTGCCACAAGGGGATTGTATTGGTATGAATAACTTGAGAACGGTGAAATTTAGGGAAAAAATTCAAGTTACCTATTTTACGTATTTTGTTCATTAGAATATAAATCCATTGCAATAACATGTAATGGATTTAACATGATTGAGATTGGTTAATAGATTCCGGAGATATAAACAAAAAATCATTTTTTTTAACAACTTCAACACCCTGTATCTCTAAAACGAGGCCGTTCTAGACCTATGTTTATAAGGCAAACACATATTATTTTAAAGAGATCTATCTGCCCTCGAAGTTTCCTGCATAAAATTCGGACCACCCTGTATAACTAAAACCTGGTAACGTTATTCATTTGCTTGTGCTGCTGCCTCGAAGTCGATAAAAATAAGTTGGTTGAAATTCTAAGTTATATGAGTTTTCAAATTAGCTAGATTGCGAAATCTTATGAAGCAAAAATATTTACCATAGGTTTGATTAAACTTTTCAAACTGCATTATCTGAACAGTAACTTCGTACCTATTATTATTTCTATATTAGCTTCTGATGTTGCAGACTTTGTAACTTATTTACTTAGTTAAAATTCTAATTTTAATTCAGGGATGTTTTTTATTTTGTAATTAGATCTTAACCAGACAGCAAATTAAGCATTAAAAAACACATTACAAAAATATTTCACTGGCGCATTCGCCATATTATAGAAAACTATTAATTACTAATTAAAAATTTTACTAAAAATATTCTATAAAATGCTCGTATTCCTAACTATATACAAAATAAATGTATTAGAAATTTGATAACGCTTTATTATAATAACTTGTTATTTTAAAGAGATCTATCTGTCCTCGAAGTTTCCTGCATAAAATTTGGACCACCCTGTATACATGAAATACGGGGTGTTGAAAGTAAACATTTTAAATCGT